TGATTGTGCCAATTACATAGTTTCTTTGTTAATTTAATTCGATTGCAAAATAAATCAAATGAACCGTAGTCAAGATTTGACAGAATAGTTCCATAATATTTGGGCACCGAATGAGAAGTAGACATTTGTAAAAAATTATATTTGTAAAATCTCAGCGATATTGAAATGAGTAATTCCAACGTTTCGTTCGGAAATCTGGTCCGAACTTCTTCAGGGAAATTGATCGAAATTAACATAACAGGTTTATATATAAAAGGAACATCTTTTGTTTTTAAAAACTTTGTCCAATCATGATTCATAAAACAAATATTAACAAGTATAATAAACAAAATTGTACGAGTTGTGATCAAAATTTGACCTCAGACTTTCAAATATTGATCTACCCTTGTTAAACACTTTAAACACAGTGTGTGTGTGTGTGTGTATAAACAGTTGTAAAACAATGTCTTAACATCTCCATAAGTAGATATAGACAGTCGGGAAACTTTGACCAAGTATTATTAGTTAGTGATACATAGCCATTCTTATTTATTAATCAGGATTTCCTATGCGTCATCTAACATCACACCTTCATGTCGGTTCAAACTGTTAGTATCTAGAATTTTATGATTAGATGTATTTTCAAAATTATGGTGTTTAGGATTAGAGTTTAGTTGAAGCACCCTGTCAAACTTATTACTTTGTCTTCTTTCTGAAAGTTGAGCTGCTTTATTCGACCTACTGAAGTTGGCCAGAAACAACCTGAACGTCGTCTCGTACCAGTAGACACGTAATTTCCCCTTAACTGCTAGCTTTTTCTAAGGGGATCATTTGATTGCTGTGGAGACTCCTGGGACCTTGTAAAAATACCTTGTGACCACTAGTTTGAAGAGTTCACGATGAATGCAGGATTTCATCAGAAAGTGATTAGAGATCATTTTTCGATTCTTTAATATAACCCTGACGTGTGTTGTGTTGGCGGAGGATGTTTGTTCTGTCTATTATTCTACCATTACCTCAAGTCAGCTCATTCCTAATTGATGGCTTCTACTTTCGGTAACTGATTCACTATTATCACGCTTACATATTGCTCTTGAGCATTGGTTTGCTGCTTTGTTTGCTTGTTTCTCACCTTCACACTTGTCCAGTGGACACTCACTCAACCGCCTTAGCTTCTCATCCAGCTAGAATTTACACCTTATCAGGTATAGAAGGGACTCTTAGTTTTCTTTTCTTGTTGACCGACTACTACCCAATTTATTTTTCTCTTTAGAAACCACTTCTGAGCAGCTGTGTCACACATCCTTTTCACTCAATAGTAGTAGGAGTAGTAGTAATAGTAGTACTAGTATACTGGTATGAGTTCTGTGGAAATTTAAATACGATTGTACAGCCTTTATAAATAACTTCATCGATAAATAATTTCTTCAATGAACTGTCTGTCTTCTATTGTCTTCATGAATGTGAATGGGTGTGTTTAGATGTTTTTTGAAATAGGCGACTACCTAACGAAGAACCTGTGCACTACTGACTCGTTTGCTTGTCGACCGACATTTACAAGACGAAAGGATTGAGTGAGGAGAATCACTCACTTTTCAGTTAGATGCTTGTCCATGGATCTACTCTGATACATATATATATAAAAATTTTATTGGTATGCTGAAAAACGTGCTGTATTTGTGCTATGCATTTCGAACAATTTGATCACACATTTACTTGTCAAGTCGACATATATGAAAGAAATTAAGGGCAGTTGAGATTATCTATAAAAATTGTGGTGTTAATTATTCTTAAATCGTTTTTTGTCACTTTGTTTAATTTAATTGCCATTAATTGTTTTCATATATATCGTCTCGACAAGTTGATGTGTGATTAGATAGATTGTTCAAAATATACAGCGCATTTTTTTCAGATAATCTGCGTCTTCTAACAACACCATCCAAATTTATAAAAAGGACTAATCGCTATAAAATGGCGAAAATTTTACCAATCTAGTGGTGATGGGTTTATTGCTGTTGTTACTGTCGTTGTTGTTGTTGATGATGATGACGAAATAGGTTTGTGAGTATTATTCCTTGGTCCTAAGTTTTGTGATAATCATGTCAGAATTAATAAAATGGGTGTACCAGTGGAGTTTGAAAACCTATATACGCAGACTAAGGACTTGATGTGTAGCTTCATCCATCGAGGCGGTTGAAAGACGTAGGTCAACTCTCGTCGATTGTTGCTGTAATTATGTATGTGAACAGCAAACGCAAATCGAATAGTATACCGACTAGGAAGCATAGTGAAGCCGGGTCAAGGTTGTGGAGTAGTGCTGACGAGTAAGATGCATCGACATAGATCGACAAGATGATTAATATACTGGAATGATCGATGGAGATTCCTAAAATTCTCAGCTTCTACTAATCTGACTGGGAAACAGTTGATTGATTCATTGAAAGGACGTGAAGAACAGGTGTCATTTCACAAGATCTATGTAGATAACTGAAGCCTAAAAGCACACTCACATCGAGACTATATGGACTGGCAGAAGTGCACAAACGTGGTCTACTACTTCGGTGAGTTCGATTGATGTATCCTCTTTGTTCAGTCATGTCCCGTCGATTGGAACAGTGGATTTTGTATGTGATGAAATTACTAGGCGGAAAATCAATATCGGTATCCTCTTCCGTATCCACTATGAAGGCAGTTGTTTCAGGATGCACTATCAACATTCATTTGCTCTTCAATAAGCAATTCTATAGGCTAGCTGATGGTATGGCTGTGGCTTCACCAGTAGGTCCAATGCTAGCTAGTGTTTTCCTCGCGAAGTTAGACAATCGATCACTGATCGGTGAATTCGGAATTCTGCTGTCCATGTATGGATGACACAGTTTTGGTTATGAAAAACAAAAGTGAAGGAAGCAACGACGAGCATAGTCGACAAGCTGAATGATGTGCATCGAGAAGTCAACTTTAGCATTGAGAAAGAAGGTAGGAAGGAAAGAAAGAAAGAGAGCAACGATAATATTTCATTGCTAGACATCTTTCTGAACAAAAAGGAGGATGGTATATAATAAGAGGGAGTGTATATAGAGGACATACAACGACATTTCAGTGGTAAGTATACACATCCTTTGAGTGTTGCACTTCTGAAATAAATATAAAGTCGATTAGTCAAGTGTTTGGTATGTAGAGGTAGCTAGGTTAGTCTGGTCAAACGGCTGACTCAATGAAGAGCCTAAGATAGTCAGAGAGTTACGCAGAAAAGATGACTATCCAGATAAGTTCATCTACAAAAGTATAAATTTAGCAGTAAGACAAGTCAGTATGGCAGCAGCTGCAGAGAAGCACTTGTTCACAAAACTGCAGTTTCTTGTTGATGACATCGACGAAATAGAAATCTACACGCTGCGAATTCATGATACTGTGGTGAGAACTGTGTGCTAGCCACAATTGGTAGGCAGCAATTCACGTCAGTGTTTACGTCCCATATCTTGGTCATGAGAAAAAAACAAGAACAAAGACTAACTCAACAACCAATCACAGGAGACTTAGCGTGGGCGGACACGGTTAGCAGGTATATCAACGGATTGTCTAAGAAACGGCAACATAGTGATGACTGAATAACCTTGAATGGGAAAACAGCCAATCACAAGAGATTACCTCTCTGCTAACAATAACGAATAATAATGTACATAAAAATCTATAAATGTCTGTTGATTTCCTCAATAAACGGTCTGTCACTTGGCTCTTGTCTTCTGTAGTTACAATACTACTGTGTTTGTCCATTACCTGATGTGAGGAATTAATTGTCCCGAGACGTTTTATTACGCATGTCGTAGTAACTTGATTTTATTCCACTCTGAGCTTTCCTTGATGTGATGAATTATCTATCGTGCAGTTTCAAAAGCAAAACTTCCTCACATCTATAGTCTTAATGACTATCTTCTTTTGGAATGTCCAGGTGGAATCGGCTGGTTTAACAGGATGTTATCATCAGCAGCAGCAGCACCACTACTACCACTGTGTTTCTTCCTATCACTCAAGATGACTTGGACTTGTTTTGATGCACACAGATGACAGATGAAATAAATAACTGTTATTGGAAGGTGACGAGAACTGACGAAATTCGCGCACCCGCTCGCTTTTCTTACCTTGGCTATCGTCATATGAATGCAAAACACTGAGAATTCCCCCATCCCCCTACTACTTTTAAATAGTTACCATTGTGGTAGCTGCTTTATTATTTGACTGATTTAGCCGCCTATAACGTAGTCAAATTGGACACTCATTTATTGCCTAACTACTCCTTATTTTCCCGAAATTATGCATTCTTAAACCCACTTATTGTAATCACTTCTACCTTTTAGTTGATTGTATCAATTCTCGTGGTTAATTATCACCCGCGCTTATGTTTATACGGACTAATGATTGTCAGTAAGTAGACTTGCCATCACTAAATGGATAAACAATAGAACAATACGCGAGGATCTAATTGAAATGTTAATATTTCTTCGCTGAATCGTTTTTTCTTTTACTCTATTGGAAACACGCCCACTATGTTAAGACAGTGAATAAAACTAACTAGGCACTCGGTTCGGATATGTGGACAGATGAGGATATTTCGAGAGGAAGACACTTGTTGCCTTTAGACATATAACAACAATTGGAGTGAGGAAACACTAATGTACTAACAGCTTTTCATAATCTTCCTGTAAACGCTACACCATTAACACACTGACTGAAATAATTAATAATAGACTCGCTCACGGATTTGTAGCACTCAAAGGGCGGTATCGTTTGTAAAGAATAAACAACTATAAATTCAAAAATAACATACAGTGCCTATGGTTATTATGTTGTCGAACAACATTAGACTGAACGACATGCACTTCATAGACCCTCGTCTAAATAACTTTTGGTATTCAGCTGAAACATATAAAAGGAAGTGGAGGGTCGGTGATAATGTGTATATAATGAATTAGAAAAATTAAGCAATCACACAAGATTCACCTACTTCAAAAGTAGTGGTAGGACGGAGACTAAATACCAGAAATGTGATAAAGTAGCTGTAGTCTCTGTAAGAGACGACAGTATCACACATTAAAGTTATAAGATGAATTGAATCAGTTCCTGTAAATTCCACTGACATAATTGCACAGACAGTCAACATACTTCAAAATACACCACAAACTTGCGGATTATTGTAAATACAATGGATTCTAAAGTACACTGGTCGAAAAAAAATGTTTACTACACTAATCGAACCTTCAGTTTACATCTGAAGTACGTAGATTAATTTTGCACTATTTGAAGTCAAACATGATGGTTTTGTGATAGTCTTTCAGTAGATCATCGGTAGAAATGTGGATTATAACATGGAGACAAATTATCTTCGTTTACTTATTAAAGCAAGTGAGCATTTATCCACTTGATGACTTCTACTAGGCCGTGAAAGCTCCAGCCTAGAATCAATAACGTTAACCAAAATACTTTCTTCCTTTAAATTCTATCAATTAATTATAATTACAAAAATATGTATAAGTTAGCGATATTCAAACAAATCGGTAGATCATCAGTCGGATTGATTACAAAGATGATAAACAATTTCACTACGTAACATTCAGTTTTTCTTCCAAACAATTACGCCCTTAGGAGAAACTTTGTTATGCTCGGTATCCACTTCACCACTGCAAGAATGGTCACCAACAACTCCTAGTTAACAGATAGGGAGCACAGTGGCTGAGCATGTTGACCCTTTGTAAGCTTAAGGAAAGTGAATCATCTCTCACTGATGACTGGAACCTCCCCACAGGGAGGGAAGGCCCGTGAGTCTTATGCCAACTCATGTCATCTCTGACGTAGACGTGATATCCGCCTATCAATCAAAGAACATGTACTGCGCAACAGTTCACTCTGTCCTTCTCCATGGCTGTGAACTGTGGCCGCTGAAATGGAAAATATGAAGAGGCCAGTCGTCTTTGGCCATAAATGTTTGTCCCATCTCCCATGTTGTGTTATAATATGGTGAGCAATATCAAGCTTAGATGTAGTGTTAGGTAATGGAATTAATCGATGAGGTTGTGAAACTGTAATAATTGAAATGGGTAGGGCACCTGTTACGCATGCCAGGCCACCGCTTTCCTTTCCCATCAATGTTAATTGACATGCGATTAGGTTGGAAGAGCACTAAGGGTGGTCAAATTCTAATGTGACACCAATCCTCCAAGTCTTTGACTGGTGGACTGAGCCACGTGGCGAAGTGTGTGTACTGTCTGACTAAGGTCGTCGAGGCGCTAGGAACTAATGACTCGAGACTGTTGATAACATGGTTCAATATCATTACGATTAGCGCAGATGTATTTAATCTTAGTAATCTCGCAGATCTGTTAAGTCCTCATCTTTCTCCTGTACATTTCTGCTCATTACTGCCCTGTCCATTTTTCTTCCTTTGCGCTATACAGCGTGTGAAGTGGAACGGTTGCACTTTCGTACAAAGTTCTGCCTTGAAAACTCTATCTGTGAGTCAGTTTTCTGATTGCCTGGAATGGTTTGCAAACTGTTAAAAGTGAACTTCGTTTGCACATAAATAACGGTTTGCAGGCAACTTGGAAAGTACGAAGACAAAGTTTTAGACAATGACTACTCTACAGAATCATTTTTAAGTTCACCAACTTGCATTATTTAACATCAGGTATAAAAATTTCATCAGCAATAACCGATATCGCTATATTGCTATGAAAAAAATCATTATTCCAATATCCCTTTACTTTGTATGCTTAGAACCTTATTAATTTGATTAATCTACTAATAAACAAAGAAAACCTAACATTTAGCATATTGAGTGGACACGCTTCCTGTAGTTAGAAAAATGAATTATATATGACAGTAATAACCATGCTTTACACTCAGAAAGACCTATAAGGTGATGAATTTAATATGGAAAACATTGTATTCTTGTGGGAAAGGTTGTATTTTCAAAAAGAAACATAAGCAAATATATTTACACATCGCATAATGAAGATTCCATTAAATTGGGACGAATGTTAATGATTCGAAGGACAGTCATATTGTCTTGAAATACTAAGAAGAAAGTGAAATGTGACAATTTACTTACCCCGAAGTTTATGATGTCTGCGGCGGCGATGGAATTGATACCACACTTTAGGATGTTCAAGGGTCTTTTCAATGACCACAGCTTCCACAAAAACCTGGTGGACAGGTAAAATAGGTCGACCGATAATGGTAAAATCTGATGAACCCAAAAGTAGCACCTTTTGCAGTTGAACGTGATCGCCAACATCAGTTCCAAAGAATGGTGTTTTAACCATAATTAAATCATTGCTCGATACTTTAAACTGTTTTCCTGCTAATGCTATTACAGCGAAATACTGAGAAGCTTTCTCTGATATACGGGAGTTAACTGCATCACAAATGCCTGGAGGAAAGCCAAAAAAAAAAAACCATATAAATCACACAGAAGTATCATAAAACCTACGCAATGTCAGATATATTTGTTTGAGTATTTCAATGTTTAGAAAAAATAAAATTTTAACGGTCAATTCCTATCTGACGATATGAACATAAATACGTGCACAACTATAGTGCAATTAAATAAACATTTACGTCTGCATAAAACCTTTAACTATGGGGAAATCAAAGTGATACTGATAGCTTACTTGAGCTGAAAACTAATTTTTCACAGTAGAACTTTGCACGGAAGTGCAACCGTTCCACTTCACACGCTGTATAGCGCAAAGGAAGAAAAATGGACAGGGCAGTAATGAGCAGAAATGTACAGGAGAAAGATGAGGACTTAACAGATCTGCGAGATTACTAAGATTAAATACATCTGCGCTAATCGTAATGATATTGAACCATGTTATCAACAGTCTCGAGTCATTAGTTCCTAGCGCCTCGACGACCTTAGTCAGACAGTACACACACTTCGCCACGTGGCTCAGTCCACCAGTCAAAGACTTGGAGGATTGGTGTCACATTAGAATTTGACCACCCTTAGTGCTCTTCCAACCTAATCGCATGTCAATTAACATTGATGGGAAAGGAAAGCGGTGGCCTGGCATGCGTAACAGGTGCCCTACCCATTTCAATTATTACAGTTTCACAACCTCATCGATTAATTCCATTACCTAACACTACATCTAAGCTTGATATTGCTCACCATATTATAACACAACATGGGAGATGGGACAAACATTTATGGCCAAAGACGACTGGCCTCTTCATATTTTCCATTTCAGCGGCCACAGTTCACAGCCATAGAGAAGGACAGAGTGAACTGTTGCGCAGTACATGTTCTTTGATTGATAGGCGGATATCACGTCTACGCCAGAGATGACATGAGTTGGCATAAGACTCACGGGCCTTCCCTCCCTGTGCGGACGTTTTCGTCATAATTCCTTTGGATGGAAATGTGTCTTCGTGATATGACAGCCTTATCGGCGTCATGAATCTACGCTCAATTCCATGGATTTTAATCATAATCACATACATCTCAAGAAATTCTCAGGTGAAATTAGGAATATTCAACATATTTTGTAATTTAAACAGTTTGAATACGTTTTGTTACACACAGCTGATTACTGAAATTCAAATGTTTCTGTAACTCAAACAATTAATCTAATGACTGAGGTATGAACATTAGATCCAGCTATAAAATTTCAAATAGGGTCGAACTAATCATAATAGTACACTGTATTTTTACATTGATTTGACAATATTAATGAGTGCAATGGAGGCCTAAGGACTAGGCAATTTAACAAGATACAACTCCTATTAGAGCTAGACTCAACTATGAGCATAGCTTTCTGCTTGTTATGATTGAATAAATAATGTATGTAATTCTCTTCAGAAGGTTATGGAAGTTTGTATAACTGTTTCTCGTTAAGCCTAGTACATAAACTTATTCTAACAATCCATCTTATAAAAAACGAAAAAATTGAGCAAAGAATATCGTTTTCGATCATTTCTTTTCCAACGCTACAATTATATGTATGTTTGTATACATAGAATATTCTAGAGTGGTCGTCAATGACAATATTGTTTTTTAAATACTATCGATTTAAGGAATGTCGATGGAATTACAGTTCAATAAAGACACATAATTTATAATGAGCTCATCAGTTACACCTTTTAAAGGCCCATTCTCTAGTTAAGCAAGGAATGGATCTTTGTGGTGACCCCATTGCCACACCATCCATTCGCCTGTATAGTTCCTTATTAAATAAAAAGTGAACATTCATTGTGCACTTCAAGAAAAGCTCCTTCATAAAAGATATAGGAATGCTGACATTGATATTTCATCTTATGAGTTCTTCGCATGCAAAGTATGCTGTTTCCATAAGAGGTACATTGGTAAATAGGGAAGATACGGCAAATGATATCAAATATTTCATCCTTTCAACTAATCCAAAGGTATCTTATACACTGTGTTTGACCAGGTCAGTACGTAGATGCTGTAGGAGTTTGAGTGACCATTTGGCTATGGGACGGGATGGTTAATTTAACAAACCTAATACTGGTCGAAGTGGTAAACCGCTTTTGTCCGCTTTTGGTGAACCATATAGTCATGATGTGAACGTCCCAGTGATGTATACTGGCGTTGAGGTAAAACCATATTGTTTCGGTCTTCTCAAAGTTTCAGCTAACTGTTCCTCTATCTTTTCAATCGGATCCAAAAAAGATGAGATTTTTTGGAATTTTAGATTGTATTTAAGAACAGTATACATTTTCTTGAAATAATTAGCTTTGTTCATCATAACCGTTCCTGATCCATTATCCGGTGTCATTATTACAGTGTCATCAGCTTTTCGGGGAATACCTAGGACTCCTCCACATTTTTTAGCCAAAATACTATCCGAGTTGCGTTTACTATTCATATAATTATAGCAACAATCTACCAAAGTTGACTTAAGTCTTTCAACAGCTCCAGCAGACGCGGGTATTAGGCCTTCGGTTTGAATATAGACTTTCAAACTGAACTTGTGCATTCATTTTACTAATTCTAGCATGACTATCGATAGTCACAAAATTTAGGGCTTTAACGTAACCCTGAATTACAACCTCCTACATGAAATGGCAGAAATAAATGCAAATATATCTGAAAATCAATCCAATGGATCTACAGGGATGTTTTCACTCATTTTAGGATTAGAAATTATTTTAAAAATATACCAGGATTGTGCTCACTTATACAGGGTAGACAGCATTGATCTAAAAGTAATTGAAGACTCACCGTTGTGTAGCATTGCGTTATGTGGCGATAAAGGTAAAGGCTCAGGTTGGCTCACTTTCACGCTAGAAACAAAATTTCACTGACTCTGTATGTGACGTACAATTCATTCTCAAGGACGGTGAAGGTCTTATTCAACTTAAAACGTTTCGGCTTTCGAGCTGTTTGGTTTCTTATCCAGTCTTTTAAAAAAGTAGAAGTAGTAAAGTTCAAAAACCCATGTGGTGAGGGCTGACGAAACCGAGACAAAACGCAAATTGAGAACATAACCTTCAAATCAAATGTGGAACGTAATTCAATGGTACAATGTCAGATTCAGATTATATCAATAGAAGGGGCTGAAATTATCCGTAACTTATCAAGGTCATTGGTGGAGTGAGACGCTCGAAGGTCATTTTCGTCCATTTTAGTCGGCCATGAGGCGGACACCAACATAACCAGCCAAAAAGTGGGAATTTCCCTCAATCTAGATAACATATAATACAATTTTATTAAAAATTATTGGCAAAAAAAATTTCCAATCGGAACTCAACAGTACGTGATAAATAAGTCCAGCCATAGAAGGCTCTTGTTGCCCTTGTTAATCCTCCAATAGCCAATATCCTGATTACGAGCTAGTATAAACCAGTGATTTCTTTGAGCTCGCTTCTTGATTGTGAGGTAGAGGTTCCAGATCTTCGGTGAGCTTCTGCGTAGTAAGTCCCGCCACTCGACTGCTTTAGCTCTGGTAGACTCCAGGAGGAGTGGTGCGGGGATTGGTCAAGATGTGGTTTGTAGTATGCAGTATGTTAGGACTGTATTGCTGCCGTGAATGGAGTTTGACCTAACTCCCGTTGGTCATTCGGTGTAGTCATAAAAGCAGAATAGTAATAATAATAATAGGTTGTAGTGTAGATAATATAGGTTGAGATAAGTGGAATAATAAAGGTGACCTAAGGAAAAGATAGAGTGAGAGAAGGCAGAATAGGTCGTGGGGATTTAGTTTGTACGCTTATTCATTGACAGTGTGGTTTTAAGTTTTATGAGGATAAGCCATTGAGACACAAACCTTGCATTTCTGCATGATTGTCTAGCTTCCGCTTAAAAATCTCCAGAGATGGCGCTGTAGTCACGGCCGCCGGTAAAGCGTTCCAGAGACGGCAAACACGAAGCGAAAAGAAATGTGATCGCACTCGAGTCTTTGGTCTCTGGTGTGCTATCCTTAGCGGGTTACCTCGTGGAAGCCTATAATCACTTAATGGCAGGATGCTTTTATTTGGGTGGGCCTGGTCATTTAAGATCTGGTAGACGGTGATGAGGTCTCCCCTGTGCCTACGGTAACTAAGTGTGAAAAGACCTAATTTCTTTAGTCGTTCCTCATATGATTTGTTGCGGAGGCCGATCACCCATTTTGTCGCTCGTCTCTGGACACTTTCTAGAATGTTAGCATCCCTTTTGAGTAGCGGAGGTGCAATGATATTATGCACCTCAAGGTGTGGCCTCACATATGCCTTATATAACCTTAAGAACAGTTCGGGAGTGAGAGCTCCCAGCTGCCTATGCATAAAGTGTAAAGTTGCGTAGGCTTTGGCGACGTCCCTCGAGTAATTTCCACTGGTGTCTAGCTTTTCTGTTAGAATAAGACCTAGATCGCGCTCTGATGGAACACAACTCAAGTTCTGGCCACCAAGGGTGTAATTTACACTCTGTGACCCACCGGAATGAAGTTGCACTACTTTGCACTTCTTTAGGTTGAAAGGCATTCCGTTAGCCAGAGCCCAGTTTCCCAGAGTTTGCAGGTCAGCCTGCAATCTGTCTGAGTCTTCCGATGAGTTTATTGCTCTCCAAATCTTTACGTCGTCAGCGTAAAGAAGCGCAGAGCAGTTTAGTTGGGAGGGCAGGTCGTTGATAAAAATCAAAAACATCAACGGCCCTAGGATAGAACCCTGAGGAACCCCTGATGCCGAGGTGTGCCAGGATGATCGGATGCGGTTGACTTTGGTGCAGAATTCTCTCTCGCCTAAGTAATCTTTCAGCCATGCGAGAAGTGCTCCAGAAACACCCGCCTTGCTTATTTTGTGAAGGAGCAGACCATGGTGAACTGTGTCGAATGCTTTCGCAAAGTCGAGAAAGATCACGTGGGCTGGTACCTTTTCGTCCCAGGATAGTGTCCAATCGTTCCAAGCTAGTAGAAGATTCGTCACGCAGGATCTTCCCCTCCTCATTTCGTTACTAATCCAAGGTGGTTTGTGAGATCGTTTTTGAGACGTAGACCAAGGTTTAAGGGGTTCAGTGACGCACTCTGGTTTGTTCCTTAATCCTGCCCAAGCCTCCTCGATAGTCTGGCGTGTATCAGCAGATCAGTCAGCTAGGGTTGCTGCATTTCAGATTGCAGGTATATTCGCTTTCCAAACGTTTGGATGAGCAGCTGTTGACCTATGTATAACAGCGTGAATTCTAAACGTAATGATAAATAAACTATATGGTCACTACTGCCTAGCGGCACCAGGCATCGAATATCACCGATGTCCTCCTTCTGGTGTCTTAGCACCGAGTATAGAGTGGACGGATCGTGTTCCGGGTAGAATTGTGTTGTCGCATCTATATGCTGCACAAGTGCGCGTTCAAGCGCTGTCAGTATGAGTTCCCTGTTGAAACGAGTGTATGAAGTAGTTGATGCTAATTCCTCCCAATTTATATGTGGGGCATTAAAGTCCCCTTAGCTGACAGGACTTCTGTAAATAACACCATTTGTCACAGTGCCGTTGTTCAAGTTAATGACACAACTTATGGCCTCACAGGTGCCGCTGTCATGAGCTTCCGACAACGTTGATCTAATTCCTATGTCATCCCAGATGTGTGCAGCAACACCCCACCTTTCTGACTACTTACTCTGTCTGCTCTAATGCAGATGTACCCAGGTATGATTGGAGTCCAGTCTACACCCACTAACAACCAAGTTTCCGTGATAGCAATCACATCCGGCTGTAGTTGCTCAGTCAACACTCCTAATTCGGGAAGCTTATTCCTATGACTACAAGCGTTCGTACAGCATACTGAGAGACCTAAGTGTTCAATCAACTTATGAACAGAGGTCTGGGCAACATAGGTTTCCGAGACCTCATCACCCAAAAACCCAGGAGTTTGAGGTCTTTTTCACCTTTTTCTAGTCGGGCTTTTAATTCAGCCACGTTTCTCCTCTCCTAATTCTATCTTCCAGAGGCCAGTCTGCCATACTCTCATCTTTTTATTCTGGATCTTGAATGCATTGTTGAGAATAATACTTTTCCCCCATCTCGTTCCCCAATACTATCTTCAGCAGTCGTGGGGAACTTTCCATTGCACCGGCGTTTCGTTCACCGATTCTGATAACTTTTCTTATGTGAACTTCGTTTATTTTTTCAGTATATACATCAGTATAATGTTTACATTACACAGACAAATATGTATATATACACCTAAACACAGAGATATAAAAACCATACAAAAAAATCACATAGTGCACAGCCAAGTAAATCAGTTAAAGCAGGAGTTACTCCACAACATAGAATTGCCACTCTCCTTTTCGATGTGATAACGATGGTGGTTTGCAAACTAACAATTCCCTGATTTCTCCATGTCCTTGGGGACTCTGAGAGAAGTTTAGGAACAGATGATGAAATTAAACTTCAGAAAATCGGTGATTGTGAGAGTATCAATGGCAGTGAAATGCAAAACCAGAGCGTGTAAGGGAAACCAGGTGGAAAACATTACATTGATGAAGTGTAACATTGTTAAGCAGGATATCAGGTTAATTTTGGCTTGGGTTAGGAGAGTACCAAGTCATATTTAGGACGTATAAAGGATTTTCCCTTCACGTTCCCAGTGGAACATAGGGCTTCAAGCTAGTGGCTCGAAGTTTCTGTAGCAGTGTTTACTTTTACACGATGGGGTTGCTAGCCTCATTCCCAACCTTTCCTCTTTACCAGCACTTTTTTCTGGCTTAGCGAGGTAAAGGAGCGCGCCGGCCGGGGATCGAACCTTGGACCATGTGCATGGTTGGCGAGCGTCCTAACCGCTATGCCACCGACGCACGTATTAAGGTTATTTGAACTTAATTAGACACCGTCTAGTTAGGGATAGGTTAGGATCAGGGATTAGTTGCGGAAATAAATTTGGATTTTAGTGCAACCTTCTGGCACCGCAAAGTCAGCGCAAAGTAGAGAAATCACATGTCTACCAAAAGTGCTGAATAGCGGCGTTGAATTTCAAATGGGACATCTTCCTCCTCATTGTTTGTCTCCGTTATGTACGTTTAACTGTTTCTCATATTGCGCCGAAATTAGCCAAATAAATATAATTAATCGCCTCAAGTTCGTACCATTTGAACGCTTTCTCTTTGCCTGTCTTTTATACACATAAAAACTATATACTTCACTGTTCTGTTCACTTCTAGTTCTGTTAATTCCATGAACAGACGGATTTTAGCTCAATTTTATCGAAAATTTATGGGTGTTTGTCGAATTTTCGTTAGTGATAACCGAGAAGACAAGGCTGTCTGTTGATGACAGAGGCTTTTGGAAGATCTTCAAACATCTGAGGTTCCTTTGGCCCTGTGCCCTGTTATGTTATTTTTGGTCATTAACAAAGTAAAACCACGCGACTGCTCCCCACCTAATCCGTGGTGAACCCCTCACAGAAGCTTAGTTTTGTTGAGTTATTCTTTCTCATGACCATCTATCACGTCCTCTGTCACCTCATATGTTGTTGGTTCGTAAGCCGCCTCATGGCGAATGACACTTACCCAATGAGTGCTCGAACAGCTTAATCTGGGCGAGCATCTGCAGACTGTTTGAGAGTTAATACTTTGATGCTGTCGCGTTCTAGAGATTTCTGTAAACGACGGTCTGTTAGGCTCTCCACAGTTACATTAAAAATTGTTTGGAGAGGAGAGAGTGCGTCGGTGGCATAGCGGTTAGGACGTTCGCCAACCATACACATGGTCCGAGGTTTAATCCCCGGCCGACCTATCCTTTACCTCGCTAAGCCAGAAAAAAGTGCTGGTAAAGAGGAAAGGTTGGGAATGAGGCTAGCAACCCCATCGTGTAAAAGTAAACACTGCTACAGAAACTTCGAGCCACTAGCTTGAAGCCCTATGTTCCACTGGGAACGTGAAGGAAAAATTAAAATTAAATTGGAGAGGAATAATAACCGTGAGATCAGGCCGCGCCGTGAGTCATCTTAGATCACATATCTGGCCGGCATCGTCACTGTTCAGCTGCATTTCAAGTGTGTCATAAAAGACCTCACTGATCTCTGGGTGACCCATAAGTCCCTCTTTTTGATTTTTAAATACACAGTGTCTATATTGGTGCTTATCTTCCGACCTGCGAACCGGTATAGATTTCTGGAGTCGA